TGTATGTGTGTGTGTGTTTGTGTGTGTGTGTATGTACATGTGTGTGCATGAATGTGTGTGTCTGTTATTTACTAGCCTTTGTGTTTCAGAGTTGAGCCTGTTTTTATGTATGTCACGGTGTGTTTGTGTATTTGCCTGTCTTTATATATGTATGTATATTTCTACAGACGTTCCCTTAGTAGAGGCGGAGGTACATGTATATCACAATAGACACAGAAACGTAGAAAGACAGGTCGGTTGGGGGCTCACAATTCGGTGGCATCTTAAAACTTTACCCATGCTTGGTGGAACGTGTGTAACGTTTTTATTTTCAGGACCAGAAAATGAAATGTCTTTGTAAACTTCCTCTCATCATGTCGGGAACAGGAATAGATTGCTTAACTCTTCCCCTGGGCCTATATGTTGTTACATAACCAACTCTTTCAGTGGGTACCTAACCTGCTCAATAACGTACACTCCCTAGATACTGTACCGGCGACGCTTTGCCCTGTTTGTAGACATAGATACACCCATATCACAGTCTTTGCCGTCCAGTCTTTGTGCGTGCAGATATGCCATGTTTTGCCGTGTCCTTGAGGGTGTGTGTATGTGTGCAGCCAGGTATTTCACGTTTGCCTGCTGTCTGCTTGCCAAATGCGGGGGATTATTATTATACAGACCACTCCTGGACATTAGTGCTCCCCGCGTTCTGCCATACCTACCAGCGAAGACCCTATCTCTAGACCTGTCCCTGCCCACTACGCACACGCCATACGATCTAACGTTTGCCTTCCTCTGCCGTGTATGTATCTGTGGGAGTGATCTAGTACGAGGGACGGTGTTGTAGGGTAGATGTTTGCCGCCCTGTCGGGTTTGTGAAGGGAGGGCCACGTTAGCGGCAGCGGCGTAGAAAGTCACCACTTCGTCTGGGTACGCCTCAGTCCGTGTGTTCACGTAGTCAGTGTAGTACTCGTCGGGAATTTCCCAGTAAGGATTCTGTACCCCAGGCCGTGTGTTGTAGTAGTTGTAGTACGCGTCTGGGATTTCGTCGTACTCGTGCAGGTCACATTCAGCGGTCTGTGTGGCCGCATCAGTCGCGCTGACGGGACTCCCATTGACCGGGGCGTCCTCGCCACCTGCCCCGCCGAGTACCCAGCGATTCAGGGGGACGACAGGTGGCAGAGGTCGGTTGTCCTGCCGCGACGGACGGCGCTGATTTCTGATAACACAGACCACCTGCATTGCTACAAGCTCTACCCCTACTACAGCTAACACTGAGGCTATTCCTGTGGTGATACCCACATACTCGTACATGCACGCACATTGCTCCTTCCCCGGTCGCGCCCTCACAGTTCTATTTTCTATCAGGTTCGTCTGATTCCTGGCGACTTCAGTTGCCAGGGTGATAGGTTTTGTTGTGGGCAGCTGGGTCATCTTTTCTGTTGTGTCACCAGGAGTGCTGGGCACGGTCCGTGTGGTCTTTTCTACACACACGGTGACATCAGGAGTGCCAGACACGGGCGCGGTGAAGACATGTCGGTAGGTTTCCCCCCGAGCGTCCACATGACATGTCACGTTTATCATTTCTTCATGACCAAAGGTGCTGACATTTCTACTGTGTCCATCAGCACACGACATACTTCTGTTCGCACTATCAGCCATGATGTCTGACATAACTACAGCAAAGGTTTGGGGCAGGGAGTCTAGACCCATAGGAACAATTTGTAGTGTAGTGTCTACTCCCAATGCTACTTTTACGCCACTAGAAGCTTTCCAAGCCTGTGTGCACAAGTGGGTGATGTTTGAATCGTGTTTGTCTGTTTCTGTGCTGACTGAAATGGCCACAAATGGCAGGGTATACTTAATCTGGTTTGTTGTGATGAGCTTGCGTTTTTTCCCAAGCTGGTGGCATAGACTGATATGCTCCTCGTCGGACGGAAGTAGGTGTGAGGTATTGTAGTGTGTGTGAACGTGATATTGTGCTAGTTTAGGACCTTTGGTGATACAGAAATTTAAAGCAACTGGTTAACCCTAACTGCAACTCTTAGGCCGGAATATAGGTAGTAAGAATAATCAAGTCGCCAGGTCAGTACCAAAGGAGCAGAGTTACCGAGACTAAGCAGCCTATTCCCGCCCAGTGCCAGCTTTCTTAACTTTAGCCCGCTCATAGCCTTCCAGGACACACACGTTAACTCATTTCGGCTCAAGTCTAGCTTGCTGAGCCTTTCCAGTGACTTAAATGCCTGGGGGTGAATGCTTTTGATAGAATTTGATCTCAAAGACAGGTGGGCTAAGTTCAGATTGTGAAACCAAGATGCCTCGACACTTTGCAATGCGTTATTGTCAAGAAGCAACGTTTTTAGGCCAGTGAGCCTCTGAAAGCTTAAGCATGCTGAACCCATGCTGCTTGCTTATATTATTGTAGGAAAACGACAGAGTCCACAACAAAAATGGAGGTTTCCAACCGTCGAACCAGGTTCGTTTCACTTGATTCAAGTTGTTGGAATCGAGCTGCCGCAAGAATTTCAATCTAGGAAACGCGGCCAAAGTGTCTTGTTCTAAACCTGTGATCCCACATTCCACCAAAGCAAGGATATCGATCGTTAATGAAGGAGGAAGCCGTAGTTTCTGAACTGAGAGGACCCCAAATGTGAACCCCCTAATCACCACGTTGCTTTTAGGGGGAAGGCATAGCGCAGTTGGTCGGGAGGAGTTCTTCCCACTACCCGCGGGTTGTGACTGTAGCTCCGCGGGACACAAGACACAGGTACCCCGTGTACGCAGAACCAAACCATGAGATTTACGAAAAGGAACGCACGCTGTCCATTGACCAGTCTACTTGCACCCAGGAAAGCATGCCGGATCTAACCCTAAGCATCCCTCCTTCTCTGCAATGTCCATTTTCCTCAGATCGTAAAATTTTGCTATCATGACGACAAAGTGAAATACATCCTGAGGCCTATTACAATAAACTTGCAGATGCCTACATTAATTTTTTTCTTTTTTGTTTAGCCACAAAGTTACATGTCACCACTATGGCAGTTTGCAATGCACCTTAGGCCTACAGGCAAAAAATAATATGTGTATGTGTTCAAACAATATATGTATATATATATATTTACGTCAAATACAATCTGGTGTGAAAAGAGAATACAAATCAATGTTGGTCCCTCATGTGCTTAATACCTGTATCTGTATACTTATTTAGGTACAGCAAAAAAAAACAGTTTCTCAAACCACTGGATAGCTTTTGGTTCTGGAGATGGTCAGGCGTTTTAAGTAGCATCCACTACATTTTGTTAGTTACTCTTTTTTGGCGTATCTTATCAGCCGGATGTCTTATCTTCACTGACGTATTTAGGTGCAGGTCTGGACCTGAACATCTCGAGTGCCATTTTGTACACTAAGATTGGTAGATGTAATCTCAAAGACAACAATATTGACAACCTACGCGTTACAATGAATGAATGAGGCTTCCCGCGCACAGCCTGTGTGGGCTTATACGGCACCATTTGATAATACAACATGTATGGTACATAAACAAAAGAGAATCAGTCGTGCAGAGATAATAAAATCAACCATGAAGTGAACACAATTTAGGGCTTCAAGGAAGCACCATGTGCCATGGGAAGATAGTTACAGCGTGTGTGTTTGTCTGGCTAGTCACCACCAACTCTCCACATGGTCCCATAGCGATACGCCACGGCATGTTAATGTCCACGATGGTGCGGACAAACTCGCCCTGGCCTGTGAACATGTCTACCCGATGGTTGTATTCGTTCGCCACAATGATGCGACCAGAGGTGTCCAGAAAAATACCTCTGGGAGAGTACAGTTGCCCCTCCCCCTTTCCACGGGTGCCGAATTCAAATATCTTTACTCCGGAGGAATTGTACTTCTGGATGGTTTTATACCCATCAGTCAGCAGGACATTTCCCTCCTTGTCCGATGTGACTCCCGAGATCTGGTATTCCGTAGGCACTGAACTCCAAAGGCGAGAGCCGTTTGGATCAAACACCATAATTGTTTTTCTGTCTCCCACGATAATTTTATTGTTGCGCACGTCCATCGCGATAACAGGATAGACGCCCTTGAGGCTTACGTCAAACTTTTTGATGGGCTGTCCGTTCTTACTGTACTGTACGACATACTCTTTATTGACAAAGCTAAAGAACCATTTATTTTGTTCAGTTCTGCTTACCAGTACCCACAGGTAGCCAGGCGCCACATCCAAAGCAACACCACGAGCTTCGAGCATTGTGTTACTTTCACCCGGCAGTACCGCTGGAAAGAAGCGGAGTAAGGTTCCATCTATACTAGTACTGAAAACCTGGACTCGTTTGTTGTCACGATCAGTCACAAATATCTCATTGTCAGCAGACACGGCAACTCCGGAGATACTTCGGAATTGTCCAAGTTCTGTTCCGTACCCGCCAAACGTGATCTTCTCTTGCTTTACGTCACAACCTTTTGCCATAAGTGATTAAAAAAGTATTTTTCAAACTGAAATTTAAAACATTTATATTTACACACACCAAGCACGCTCACACATTCACACAAACACAGAAACACACACACACACACACACACACACACACACACACACACACACACACACACACACACACACATACACATGGGCCCTGATGCCTACAGCTTCTTTCACTCACCATAAGAAATAATCTTGTTCATTGTCCAATCCAATTGCATTGCCTCATGACACAGAGGGACCACGTCTAAGGCATTGTCTAATGAGAGAAGCAAAGTCTTTAAAACATTGTCTAATGACACGGAAGGACCAAGTTTAAGACATTGTCTAATGACACAGAGGGACCAAGTTTAAGACATTGTCTAATGACACAGAGGGACCAAGTTTAAGACATTGTCTAATGACACAGAGGGACTAAGTTTAAGACATTGTCTCTTAAATATTTGTGTTAGACTCACCTTTGTGATGTGGGGTGTTGGAGACTGCCGGGAGCTTGGGGATAGATCCAGTAGTAGCAGTAGCAGCAGCTTTAGTAGTAGTAATAGTAGCAGCAGCAGTAGTAGTAGTAGTAGCAGCAGCAGCAGCAGTAGCATGAGTAGTAGTAGTAGTAGTAGCAGTAGTAGTAGTAGTAGCAGTAGTAGTAGTTGTATTCGCTGTCTGCTGTTAATAGAGGCTTATATTGTCAATGCAGGCTATCGCAATCGGTTTATGGAGATCATGATAAATTCTAGGAATTGCACAGGAATTTTTCCTAGAGGCTTGTCTGGAAATTTGCTGACACACATCTATGACGACAGTCCTACACAGTCCAAATTCCTGAAAACCCTTGGGAAAACCTTGCTGGGTGATGATATACATTCCTGGGCTCGTTCACTATACACTCAGAGGAGGGTAGGGGTGATCTACTGAACTGTACTATATCGGTCTAGACTTCACAGGTTACAAGGTACATGTACAAAATGTATACTGCCAGTGATGCCAATTACCCGTATAAAGTATACGGGTAAAGTAAAGGGATGGTTATCTCGGGAAATTGACAAGGCTATAATAAGACAGAATCGTACCTGTGGCGGCCTGGCGCTTAAGGATAAGCAGAGAAAGACTCCTGCGACGATGAAAAACCCAAGAACGACAGCCGCTTCAACTGCAAAGATCACTCGGCGACGCGTACAGCCTGAAATATCATCATGTTCGTAGTAATCATAGTGAAATGCTGGAACTTTGTTCCAACAACAGTTTTTACATAGAGATCACATTTTCAACTGTCGCCTTCATCAGGATAATTACTGACTAATCACCTGAAATATTGCAGATAACAGCAGATCTGTTGAAAATACATGTAAATGATTTTAGGGCGTTGTGTCAACAAGGGAAATGGACTCAGTAGGCATGTAAATCAGGAAAGAGACATTACCAATGACCAAAAAAATTCCAAGATTTCTCTCCAGCAAGAGGTTTATAAAGTTTATAAGGTTCGTACCGTGCGCTGCAGGATGCTGGACGTTTGGCACGTACATCGGATTTGGATTGAGTGCGTTTAGGACATCATTGGCGTCATTGATGCTGTTAGAAGCCGTCGCTGGTTGATTCTGGGAGGACAGGCTTGCTTGAGTGTCTTCTGAAGCTGTTTTCTACCCCACGTCACCCTGGCACATGTCTGCGGCAGCGTACATCGGATTTGGATCGAGTGCATGCAGGACATCATTGCTCGACGGGCTGGTCGAGACATCATTGATACTGTTTGACGCCGCCGTTGGTTGATTCTGATTCTGGGAGGACAGACTTGCGTGGGTGTCTCCTGAAGTCGTGTTCCACCCCACGTCACCCTGGCACATGTATGCGGCAGCGTATGGTTGAATGACCTCATCTTCAGATGCGATACTGGCCGTATGTCTGTTTTTAGACGCAGCCCTGCCACTATCGTCATCTTGTTGGTATCTAGAAGCGTAAGGCTGGCCGCCATCACAGTTGAGTGAGGGCGCCTGGTCTTCTTGGTGGGTAACTGTATATGGTTGGATGCAGGGATTGCCATCATTGTTTGCTGACTCACCGAATGTTTCATCTTCTTCGTATTCAACAGCAATATCATGTTCATGATGTGTAAATGCATCTGGTTGGCAGCGTGTTACAGCATATGGTTGAGGGCAATGGTTGTCATCGTTGTTAGTCGCCGGCCTGGAGAAAACTTGCTGATGTGTATCAGCTGATGTCTGAGTGCAGGGATTGTCATCACTCTTATTTGACTTGAAGGTGGGTCCAGGGCTGCTTTGCAGGTACATCGGATTGGGGTTAACGTCGTTTCTGGAGTGCGTCGGAGAAGTGTTTGTAGCGTTATGTGTGTACATCGGGTTTGGATTCCTGGCGGGTCCAGGGCTGGCGATTGGCTCCATGGTGCTTTGCAGGTACATCGGATTGGGGTTAACGTCGTTTTCGGCATCCATCTGTTGAGGGTTCATGTTTTGTGTGTACATCGGGTTCGGATTCCTGGCTTGTGTGTGCACGTTACTGTCATTTGCCTTGAAAGTTGAAGTTTCCAAGTGGATGTCGTCATTGCTCTTGTCGGGCGCCGTTTTAGTTGCCTGAAAAGGTTTGTTTTTTGTCTCTTCCACGGCTTTCTTCATGCGAATAGCCTGTTCTTTGCATATGTATGCAATGGCGTAGGTATCGAACTCACCAGGGCCGATATCGATTGTCTGACTGTTCTCAGCAGCAGCATCGCTGGTGTCAGACAGATGTTCATCATCATTGTCTTTATTTTCCTCACATCGACCAGAGTTGTGGAGACTGGCACCTTCGGCAGCTTGCCTGAACGTGGATGGCACAGTTCCTGTGTCTGGTTTTGCTATACCTTCGTTGAAGAATTCGTTTCTGACGACCATTGCTTTTGGAACGGAGTTGGAGGGCAGGTTTTCAGCCATGGCTCCAAGATCTCTTCCTTTGCTTAGTTCTACATATAAGTAAGTAATAAGTAAGTAATAAGACGAAAACAATTATAGAGATCCTGCATTCAAATGGTACAACATGTATATGTAACATAAACATGCATAACTACAAACATTATAACAATGCTAAAGTCTGCCTTGATGTTCTACGTTGAAATGCAGCGATGGCGATGATCATGTTTAGTCTTTGCTTATTGCTATAATTTGATTCTCAGAACACAGCACATTTAAACAATTTTTATCCTCAACCTGTATCGCTGTGTGCACTGTATAGACCACTGAGAAAAAGTCAGACAGAATCCAAACATCTTTATGTAGATGAAGCACCCCACGAGTCGTCTTCTGATACTAGACAATTCATGTCAGTGAGATCATGAGTTTGAACTACGTGTTGTCCTGACTGGGGTTGTTTTTTTTGTGACATTGTTGCTTTTGCTTGAAGTTGTTAAGCGGTTCCTCATATAGTAATACATTACCTGTTTCTTGACTAACTTGATGTCATAAAATGTTCTGTTATTTCTTTATGGTGGAAATATAGGGTTGTCTAAACAGTTACTCATTATCAGTGCGTGGAGCACGTGTTGTTCCAGCTGACATGTTGGTTTTACTGAATGTTATTTTAGTGGTTCCTCGCATAAATGCTTACCGATATGCAACATGTTACTCGGTGAACTTGAGGTTTACCTTCATAGATTTCAATTCTTTCTTTGTAGGGAAAATATAGACGCGCCTTAACAGTAACATTATCATGTTGAGTAGTGTCTTGGTCAAATTACAACACACTGTTAGTTCATAACAGCTGGAGTCATTATAAAAATTACAAATTACATTACATTACCAAACCTATTAACATATTGACAGTACCTACACCTTGGAGTGCTACTGTAAGGAGATATGGAGATATGGAGAAGAAAGATTAAGACATTCTGTACTTACAGTAAGGCTTCGACGAGCGACTTGTCTTCAGAGAGAACCGACCACAATAGCGAAATAGAGACTCAGTGCAGGGAGATGATATAAATATTTAATAAACATATCCCATGCACGTCATAGATTCCCCCGCAAAGGTGTCTTGTCTGGTATCGTATAGAAACAACAGGGTGTTGAACGCTGAAGTCCAAAAAATGTCCACATTGTTCATAATATTTTAAGATAAAACGAAAAATCGGTTACAGCAGTGAAATACAAGATCTGTGAAGAAAAGTGGTTTCGTAAAGAATTTTTTTTTTTCAGAAACATGTTCATGAATTTAGAATTTTAGACGTAAAGCTATCCCTCCCTTGGGAGGAGTTAAAGTGGACTGATCCAACTTCTTCGTCTATGGACGTGGGTGTAGGTTTGAAAGCCAGTAGACAATACGTGTATGATGAACCTTGTAGTAATTGAGGTTTGGGAGCTGGTAGACTATCCATGTAATACTATGAACTTTTCTTTCTACACCCACGTACTTCTCGTCAACGAAGCGGGCAAGGTGAAGGTGGTCGTGTGATTAGGGTTGTTGACTATTAAAGAATAAACTAGCTTAGATTCCAAGCAGACCCAACGTCGCACTCTTGGAAAAGGCACTAAACACCTATTTCGTTTTTTAGCTCAGGTGAAAGTGACCATAGACGTTATGGTCTACATCACGGTAATATTACGTCAGCTGTAACGTCATTATTTTTGAAAGGGAAAAAAACAATCACGACTAAGACGAATTTTGCACTTCTTGGTTCATTTGGTGTATTATTCAAGAAGCTATATGTTGACGTGTGTTTTTCAGATTGGTATCAGACATGTGTTTTTTTTGCTGGAAATTCAAATCTCGGCTCGTGGTGTTTCATATGTCAAAGGTGATGCTCTTTCCTAAGGGCGTACATATGATTAAAACGAGGGCAGAAACTCATGGGGAGAAAGAGTGGACTTAGTCATGGCGAGACGCGCGAGAAATGATGATGATAAAAAATGCTATGATGAAGGGAGTTATGTTATGGGAAAGACCAAGCATCTCTCAAAATTCCTCTGTAAAATATTGTCACTAATGTGTTCACACAAAACTCTTCTAGAGCCTCTCTGAATTATCAGGCAGTGACCACTTTATGGGGAAGTGTTAAAACTCAGTCATACATTTCTTGATTATATTTTGTGGTTGTATCCTGTGTTCTATATATTATGGGTAATTCATAATACTAGAGTCTATAATTGACATTTTTAGATTTAACCTAATTTATTAAGTTGTATCTTACAACAAAATGTCACACAGAATTCGCTCCCTCACTCGGAAATACACAATGGTTAATACCTTGATGTTTATTCAATCTGTACCATGATTTTACACGTATCCTTGTTTGGGCCGACGTAGAGGCAACAGGAGTCTTCGTAGAGGAAGCACCGTAAGTACATGTCTTATTATTTTTTTCATTCACTTAACACCATTATTACAATTTTGTATATAATACCATGGCTTTAACGGTGTTTTCACAATTTAGATGAAAGTAGAATGTAAAAAAGATTAGAAAAGTTCAGCAAAAACCCTTGAAAATTGTGGAAAATGGTTTAATTTGCTCATCTATTTTGTTGTTCTTGAGATAACGATCCGAAATTACGAATAT